CCTACTCAACATTTTACTTTGACATTTAAATTGTGAACGAAGACAACACTAACAAAATCAAAAGTAACTTGCTTTCTACTATAACAAAACACTTTTAATACCTATACAATTTGTCATGACAGATCAATAAAAAGTAAGTCTTTTTATTAATCTATCATGTCTCAAACAAACGCCATCTAGTGGTCCGAAAGTGAACGAAGAAGATCAATACCGTAGCTACAAACTACTTTAGATAAATCAACAACAATGCGATGCGGCCAATAGGTGTCGCTTTTATCAAAACCGTACGCATTACAAATATACCAAAAAATAACTGTTACAAACTTCTCAATCTCATGTTCGTAATTCGCGTCGTATATTACACTGGAAAAGAAAATACGCAATGATATCAAATACATTTTAAAAGGTGCGTGAAGTTATTACCTTAATGATCAAACCAATTTTTGGTATTGATTGCTTGTAAAACAAAATAAATATAACATAGTTTAGACAATCATTTTACTCGTAAGGCAAACTTGACACAAATCTTATTCCAACCCGTCTGACTATCGTGGAATAGTAAGGCAAAACCTTTATATTATAAAACCTCTAGATTATAATGATAAGTTAATTTTAATGTTAATTTTAAAATTATTTACATTATTACATTAAAATACCCTACCTATGTCCTATGCCTATGTCCAGCAGTGGACTATTAAAGGCTATTGATGATTAAAATACCCAAACTGCTGATAAGCATATGTGATGGAACTTCAGGTTTTAATTGAAGCATATAAGCTTGCTCGACCGGAGCTCACAGATAATTAAGCGATTATAACGTTCCTTTTCACCTAGTACGTTACGTTACCGGAGGAACCGCTAATTTATCACGGTCCAAGAAATCAAACGCAACGCACTTTAGTCTATTGAGTTATCAGGTTACCATGGGCAGCGGTAGTCCTTACCATTAGGAGACGCATCTTTTTATTTATCCCAAACCATAAAAAAGAAAGAATCTGTTGTGCCCGACAAAGAAAAATAGTATCAGCATTGCATAAACATTGAATTAACATTCAAATTACTGTAAAACTATAAAACTCATTTGAAAAATTATACTAATAAAGAACATGTGACACAAACATACCACAAGACATCCCGATTTACCTGTAAATCTTTGGCAAAAATGTGCGCAAACCGAAGGCAATTCAAATGAATTATTATCAGACATTACGAGGTCCGGACTGAGGCACTATATAAAGTATGTGCCATTACCTCAATGAGAGTTTAAGTCTGCACAGAGTGCGTTGAAATGGAACGACTGTCGTCAGCAAAGCAAACACCTACTCACCTTATAGACCGCATTATTCATGAACCTATTTATCTGTATTGCTTACTTATGTTGTTTTCGTCTCGGGCTTTTGCCTCTGTTTGCTGCCGAATATATTTTTGCATAATTATTGTTGGTTTGGGTCTGCTTTGAATAAAAAATCGACTTTTTATGATTGAAGCAGTAACGTCTATTGGTATTTCTTGGTCAACTTTTTTGCACAACATTTTCAAACTCTAATCATTCGAAATCGTACTGAACCTGTATTCCTTAAAAATTGTAAAATAAAATTAGAATATTTTAAAGTGTTTTATATTAAAAGTAAAAGAAAATACATTTTGTGTTTACAAACGATTTTTAAGATTGTTTTTTTCTCAATAAACGTTCTAAAAATAGGTTGAAGGCTTTGGCACGCCAGCGGATGTGTTGTTGACGTCACGCCCGCTAGCACCACCTACATCTGGCCGCTTGGCACGCTTGGAATTCATCGGATTACCCTTCAAACAAATTCGTCGTAGATTTAACGATTTTTATTCAAGATTATTTAACATTTTGGTTTCCAAATAAGCGTTTTCCGTTGCCTAGTAAATTGCCTTGCAAATAGAGTTTTTCATCAAAGTTTAGTATTTTATCAGACACATCAAAATACTTTATTCTTCCTCCAAACCTTTTTCTCAAACTAGGTTGGGGTCGGCTTTAAGTCTACTACGATACGGCTGAACTTTAATTTTTTACGCTTAGCAACTGCCATCAGACCTTCACAACCTAAGTACTGGGTGATGTAAGAGTTCCATAGAAAAACTATTGTCGCAATGTTTAGGGCTCCAACTAACTAACTAACGTTGCCACAGATATTTGTATGGCATCCAGGACCAACGGCTTAACTCTCCAGGGCACGAAAAAATATCAAAATACTTTATTCTATGATGTGATATATTCCAGTACAAAGTCTTTAGAAATAAAACGTATTATAAATATTATCGTTGTCTATCTTTGTTTTTCTCATTATTTTCCAACAAGGAAATCCAACAAAGCATTTCAACGAAACTTAGCAAAGGTTTCAATTGCAGGTATTAAACCAAGAATATACATATATTATACAAACAACCAATTAATCGCGGCTTCACTAGCGCGATTAGTAGGTTCTTACAACACAAAAAGTATCAGATGCCAAAATTTCAAGCCGCAGTGGTTTAGGTTCTGTGTTATTTCATTTTGTGAGTTAATGATGACCCCTGGTTAGTATCTTTTCTTACTAACTGACCCACCAGATGCAGAAGTTGGGTGGTTAGGAATAAACATTCCTAACTGACCAACCAGTTGGACAACTCGGGTCGTCGGTTTGGAAACCCCCGACCCCTGACGTAGCACTAGTACTGCACAATATTGACTAGTCTAGTGTTGAAAAGTCTAACATTGGCTCAATATTATATATTCATACACGCATGAAATTCTTTATATCCATTTTAATGTATATTTTGAGGATGGAGTAATAACAAATTAGGGACACATACTTAAAGTTTTTTTAGTAAGGAATAAGAGGATAATGAGCAGAAGGGACACCAGATGGTAAGTGACTACCAAGGCCCATGGACTTTGGATTGCATTCGCTGAAAACACTGTACAAAGCAGTTGGACGTGTCTTCCTAAGGGATCTCTTCAATGGCTTCATAGAACGCATTCACTGCTGATTCAGGGCTCGTAAAACGTATGCTTCTACATTTTTTTTTTAATTTTTGGAAACAAAAAGAAGTCGCAGGGAGCAAAATCTGGGCTGTAGGCGGATGCGTCATCAGTTCCACATTTGAAGCCTTCAAATAGGAATGTGAGGATGCGTTATTGTGAGTAATGCGGACATTGCTTCGAGGACGCTTTTTGCGAACTTTTTCTAAAACTCTGGGCAAACAAGTATTGACGTACCAATCACCAATCTTTTGATCTTCAATCGATACTGTAGTGTAATGTCCTGATTTTCCGAAAAAAGAAGCAACCATGTTTTTAGCAATACTTCGACTTTTCTTGACTTTTGTAGGCAAATCTTCAAAAACTAAAATCTAATCCGCCGACTGGCTTTTTCTTTCGGGTCGAAAGCAGTAGGTACACCCAGTTTTCGTTATTTGTCACGATATTATAGACAGCTAATGACTGTCCTCCGTTAAACTTATTTATCATTTCACGGCACCACTTTACACGCAGTCGTTTCTGGTCCTCCGTTAAGTCATGCGGCATCCATCGAGTGCAAATTCCGAACCTTCAGATGCACATGTAAAATATTTTGCACTTGGCTCTTTCCAAGGCCTAACAAAACAGTCAGTTCAGTCAGTTCTTGTCTGTTTTAATCAGTTTCAATAAGTGTATTGACATCGTACGACAGTACGATGTCAATATCAGAGTCTGTAACCGCAATCGCTGGCCGACTTTCACATACCTCGTCATGGAGATGATTACGTCCACGTATAAATTCTCCAAACCACGAATACACAGAGCTGCGATATGGTGCTTCATCACTAAATGCCAATTGAAGTCTCTGGCAACTCTCTTGTTGACTTAAGCCACAAGGGAAATCATAAAAATAATTAAACGAAAATGTTCACGAGTTAAATTGATTTTGATAGCTGCACACAATTTTGGAAAGGACGACACAATGTAAAAACAAATGACATCTGGCAAATAAAAAAGTAATATGTTCCCAAAGAGTTCCATTTTTGAATTTCATAATTGTTTTTTCATTCTGTTATTGTAAGTGGCCAGATACAGAGACTTTTAGTATGCCCCTCGTAGCTTTAGAATCTCCTACGAGTACTTAACATGATCCCTGTTTGGGATTCGAGAACGACTCGGTATCGCTCTCGCTAACGCTTAGCTTTGCGACTGCACAGTGTTCACGAACAAAAATGACCGGGTTTTCGCTGTAGCTATGTAATAATATTAAACTGTATTGCTAAAAATATAATGCTGTAATTAACAATTACTAATAATGTTGTGTTAAATGTTTTATTTATCATATTATGTACAAGATAATGATCTGTCAACCAAGTCCAAATTTGTACAAAAAAAATCTTAATTCACTTATTTTAAAGTAAATTGCAATGCCAGAATAGTGAATATTGTTGAAACATTACGTTTAGGTTTAGTTTTAAAGAAAAATATTTTCTAATCTCTTTTTTATTCGTACAAGAGAGTAAGATGCAAGTTTTTTTTCTTCGGAGACAATAACAGTTTAAAAACACATAAAAGATTAAGATGCGATACATGGATGCGAGAACTATTATCGTTTTTCAAGTAGGGTAATTAAACCATTTTTACAGTTGTCACAAATGGAGGTTAAGCTTGTTGAAATATCTTCTCCGCTTTCACCATCTATTGTACATTCAGTGGGGATATCATCTGTACGAAAAACATCATATACACAGACGTAGTGGATCATATACACATGATATGAATCATATACATACAGATAAACATACAAAGGAGGATATCGCTAAAGATGGTACCATCATTACATTACTCCTGATAATAAAAAAAAACAAATTCCTATTTCAGGCAATAATTATATCAATAGGACTATAATATGCAGGATTAATCTAATTCACAAACTAGTTAGAGTAGAAAAATATCTGTGGTTTTTTATTCTGATGACCAGGAATAATCACATGGTAGCACAAATACAAAGGCACTGTGATACAAAATAAAACTAAAAAATAATACTCACAACTCCCCTGAATGGTGAGCTTTTGACTATAGTAATTTGAATAGTGCCGTAACCTCCAGCAAAGTCATGTCCCCATTGGGTAGCGATGCCCACTTCTGCATAACCTTCCAACACCATAACCTGTATTAGATCATTAGCCACGTGATTAGTCATAAATATGTTCACTTCAATAATACCACCAGGATCCATATCAAAAGCTGGCGATGAGACGCAGCTAGTTTGCTCATTCGGATATATAAACTGTGTACTACGCTCGTGGAAACCTTCCATGTTCATACTTTCAAAAGTTCCAATTACCCATGTCCCATCAATGAATGAACAGAACCCCAAACCTGTTGAAAATAGCTCGTCGAAGTCTTCTTCAAACGTAAATCTTTCACAAGGGGATGCATATGACAAAATTATTAACAGAACAAAAACTTTGAGCATCCTTGTGGTTCGTAACTGCTGTTCGTAGTGCTAGTAGACGCAAAGTCACTATAAATAATGCTTCAAATGCATTAATCGTTCATTATTCTCAGATAAGATATCCTTCTAAGAAACAGATATTATTTACACTAGATAACTTCTTTTTCTATAAATTTTGATTGGTTAGAATTCTGATTCTTGATTTTGTACAATACCTATGTTTTAATTGTTTTATCGATAGTCTTAACTTATAGGATAGATAATTTACCATACGCACAATAGGATATGTCATAAAAAGTACAAGTGCCCAAGCATTTTCTTAACTAATAGGTATTTGAATTATATTGATGGCTATTGACTTAACGAGCTTATTCGTCTAGTGGTTAGTGATCCTAACTTCTAAGCCGGAGGTAGTGGGTTAAATTCCTACCTAGAACAAATTTATGAGTGTTTAGCACGATCATTTGTTCTGTGTCTAGTTGCAATTTATGTAAAAGTAGGACCCGGTGAACTTTCTAACACCTATATCTATTTAGATATCTGTGTGAAGCATTAATATTTGACAACCAATAAATAATCTTTGTCATAGGTAGTAACAATATTTTGCATTTTAAAAATCTAAATGAGCGACAAATTAACATATCTTCAACTGTAAGTAATTGGATTCAAACTTACATCATAGACAGAGTATGCTTCTGGAACATCTTTCTCTTCTTGGTGTGAAAAGTCTGCTGCTGCTGCAGGGTGAAGTGTTATCTTATTTACTTTTCACTATATTTATAAACTCTATCTCTAAGTCACTAGTCGTTACATAAATTATCTGAAGCTTTTTCAACTACTACTGTGGCGCTCGTGTGTGAATAGAGTTGTAGTAAATCCGTCTAAACCTCCTTTCTAAGGCAGCAGTGTCCATCAGTGGACTATTATAGGCTATTGACGATGATTGATGATGATGAAATCCGTCTAAGACCAGAGATAAGATGGTAACAACAATAGACTGTACATAACTATCGAACATCATGTTTAAGAGTTCTGCATTACGAATTAGAGTACCTGTGTTAAAAGTCTAGGGCTTTATATTCAAAATATCCGTGGGCGCCCTACTGCAAAAGGTCACTCGAAAATTGTTTGTATCAGCGGGATCCTTGCGAATACTATGCAATTTTCTCCCAAAGACCACTAAAATTGTGCTTGCGCAATCCGTCTTTCTTCCCATACTCTACTATGCTGATATCGGTTATCTCGATCGAGGAACAACTCTATGAACTTGAGCGCCTTCAAAATTTTGTATCAAAGGACATCATTCAAAATGTACCCAAAAATGAAAGTAAGCCAGAAAAAAAAACTGTGTCATATTACAGCAAATGATCTTTTAAACATTTTTTATTATTACAACAAACGAGTACGACCAACTTTTAGACCCAAAATGGATCTCCGAAAATCATAAAATGAGCATTTACATTTATGTATCAATGTATGACGAGCACAATTTCAGCCGATGTCCGCCGATATGCCCGAGTTCGATGATTTTAAAAAGGCTCTCAGAAGAGGATTTAATATTATTTAGTTTGGTAATTTATCAAATAAAACAAACTAAAAGCTATTACGGCGAGCACATCAATCCAAATGTTGTTTTTACGGTCGAGCTTGGCGACAGACTTTTAACAGAACACGTCAGAGAATTGGGAGAAAACATAATAATTATAAGAGGAAGAGTACAATCTCGGCATGTTCGAGCCAGAGTATATTATGTTTACATTGGCATCGACACATCATTGAGTGGCCGTGATGCCATACCGTATTATTATTGCTCTTACAATGTTGGCAAAAGAACGGTGGGCTCCTGTTCCCACACTATTGCACCAACAACCTTCCATAAATCCACCTGCATTAGGTTTAGAAAATGTTATCATAAGACCTGCGGAATTATAACATATGAATAAAGCCACGTAGGTAACGAAATGAAGTCTTTTTCTTTACATATATTTTATAACATTAATACCTATACATAAATACCTACGTAGGTACTTAGGTACCTAATGATGATTGTATATAATTAGGCTTTTTGTCATATTATATTATTAGTAAGCGAGATTAAGTTATTCTTTATCATCATTATTTGATTTTTGCTATAGTAATGAAGTAAAAATTGTTCAGACGAACTCGTATAAATGTTTTTTTTTAATTATTTCTAAGTCATATAACTCATAAGTAATCGGTCTTAGCTCTTAGCCGTCTATGGAAAAAAATCTTAGGATGTCATTCTCTAACCAATAAAATCATTTTTTTCGTTGGCCGGCACTTTTTTTTTGGGTACTTTTTGTATGGAGCGTGAATGATGTCCTTTATATTTGGATTACGCAAATATAACCTACCTAAATGGTTCCCATATCACAACCTGCTTAAATGGTTCCCAATTCGCCTTGGATGGAATGCTCATATTCTTTGTATCTATATTAATGTCCATAATATTCTATGTCATCCCACTAAATTAAAAAAAAACGCTTTGTTTGCCTCGGTGAAACATATTCAGGAATATTTCAATTTTAAGTAAACTTAAGTCAGCTTTTTGAGTACTGTATTACTTCTAACATCCTGATACATCAATAATCCTATGAAAAAAACGCGCATGAACGATCAGGTGTCTGTTTCCTTTTTATAACAACTTTAATGAATATAACAAATATAATAATGATGACTTCAGTTATTATATTACAGTTATATTACCGCTGTAGGCATTCGAGATGAGGCTTGTGAGTGAGACTTCCTGCCGTCGGAAAGCGATGCTCCTGCCCTTCAAATCAGACGCCGATTGCATTCAAGTCGCAAAAGTTACCAGAAGCGTATCAAACAAAAATAACTAAGCCAAATATTATTACTATGAACTAAAATCGTTTTTTTTACATTTCAATAAAATTTAAAGGATATGAGGTTTCCAATCAAGGTCTGGTATAATCCGAACCCAAGTTATGAAAGTTAAAAAAGCTACGAGAAAAGCTAGGTAGTGCCCTTGTGCTTCGCTTGATTCTTCTTGGCGGGGCAGAGGTACTGCCGTGCCCTCTTATTCTGCCGTATTTCAACATCGTACGTTGAAAATTTATGTCGCACACGCTATTCGACATCACATCGCAGACTTCTGTAAGCCTTTTGGACATGCACGACATGACGTTATCGTGGACAAACTATGTAAATCATTCTCATGCAATCAATTACAGATGTGTAGAATTATAGCACCGTCCAATTGTTTAAGATTGGAATAGATATCTATAAAAATTTAAAAAAAGAAAACCAAACTAAACTATTTTAAAATTAGAAATAAAACATGTTTGGATCGTTATTGTTTTAACATATTTATTTGTTTGAATAACATCAAATATTTTATTTAACATTAAAGAATAATTAAAGTATCATTATTATTAAAGTCTCCTATTTTGATTCGTCTTATTATCGTGCTTCTACAGAGGCTTCCAACTGGCAACTGTCTGAGAAGAAACCCAAGCCCTGCTCACCGCCCAAGAAACTTAGTCAGGCTTTTTCCATAATTTTTCAATATTATAGTACAATTACATAGTTTATAATAATAAACAATGTTACCTAAAGTTACAGCAAATAAGGCAAATGACCTTGGTTTTATCCATGGTCCGGATCGTTAGTGCATTGAGGAGGTAATGGAGCGGCGGGACGGGAGAGAGATCGCAGCGCCGCTCGCTCTATCGGCCACCTTAGGAAGTGGCAATCTGGGAAACGATTTTGGGGAATTCGTTGTCCAAAAAGATACAGGCCTGAAAGGGAATGCAGAGGACAATGACCGAAGGGTGATGGTCGCAACGGGTGACGAGACCCATCTTAGGTGCAGCGGCGTGCACAGGATTATGACACTAGGTATGCGGCGGAGTAGGAAAACAATATAATTTAATCGTGTGTACACAACCACACAGCCATAGGTACGTTTCATAACTTTTAACATGAAACTTACGAGTTGCATTTCCTTTTTGCTGGTTTAATTGTTGTAACTCGGGTACACACCTCCCTTTAGACACAATTTTAATCTTTTCACTGAATGACAATTGTGAGAACTTTTAATTTTTAATATACACACATTTTCCACACATACCTCACAATCAAATAACATTTTAAAAATCGGTTGCCTGTAAAGTTGGTTTACTGACGATAGTTGAACGTGACAACGTCATAAGAAAATACTGATGGAATGGTTGCATTTTTCAAAAATGTATTATTGTATACGAGTAGCAGCTGTCCACGCGGACGCATCGCTCACTCAAGTTCCTAGTTGAGAGAGACAGATGTCGAACGCTGCCGAACGCGGAGGCCGATTGTGCCTCTTTGTCACTCGTTCCGCGCTCTCGCTTGCACTTCACGCCTTAAATGGAACGCCTCAGAGCGAGGTAACGCCGCATGAGTCATGTTTTTTCGTGCGTGCAGCCGGGTCCATCGAATTATAAGACGTTGTCACGTCAAAAATAGTGTTCAATGGTAATTGAAAAGAAAAAAAATACTTTGGCAACTACACATGGGAGTTTATCACTTCTGCTCACTAGCAACACCACATCTTACACCTACTGGTAACTTTAGGTTTTTTCTTCTGAGAAAATCATATATCTACAACATTGTCTATAGACAGACAGATATGTTATAGTCAAACATCAAAGCTCCGGCGCTTCTAGGTTTGAGTAGTCATACCTCAGTTCAAACGATAAGAGGCGTCACAGAACCCTCGCATACTAGCTGACGCAGGTGATCAACGAGAAAGTTTTGGAGATCCCCTGTTTGTAGCGGCCATTCGGATCGTTCGGAGATACCGCACCATATCATCGGAGGCGTCGAAAGTCCTGTCACGTTTCCCGCCTTTTGATATCCTGGCGGATACGGACGCTAGGTGAGAGCGGGAACGACCAGGACGAGCTCGAAATACGGCGGAACGCTCACCGACAGGCACCGGTTGGAACAGCCGCGCAATGGGCGCCAACGTGCTGTCGGTGCCGTTTTGCCTAACCTCGAAG